GGGTTGGGGTTGCAGCGGGATCGGTGCTCGTGGAAGCCTGAGAAGAGGAGGGTCAGGCAGGGGGTGAGACAGGGTGGCCCTTGGTCCCCTGAGGTGGGAGCAGAGCCTCGCCAGCACTCACCGCAGACCTGGCACTCCATGATGGTGTTGCGGATCAGAGACATCTCCTTCACCTGTGAGGCAGCAGAGCACGGAGCATCAGGGGGATGCAGCGCTGGCACCCTGCTCTTGGCCAAACCCAGTGCAGGGAGAGCCAACACCGCCCCACCACCTCACCTGGTCCCTAATGTCTTCCCGCAGCTCAGTCAGGATCCGGTTGAAGAGGGTCAGCTGCGTGACCAGTGCCTTGGTCTGCTCACCTGCCAGGAGCAGAAAGGACAAGGTCAGCCCCAGGACAGACACAGTGTCCCAGGGCCGTGGGCTGGGAACTCCTCTGTCCCCTGGCACCAAACCATGAGGACAAGACAGCCAATGGCCCTTCCTGCTCCACACAGGACCTTCTTCCCTGGAACACATCCCATGCCCTCAGATTTGCCCCATGCTGGGGGACCCTGCAGGCACTTGGGGCACTGGGACAGGCTGCAGAGGGTTCTCCATCTTGGTGGAGCCCCAAATGCTGCCATCGCCCTCGCACCAGGGAACAGGGGAGGCAGGGGACTTACCCAGGATGGAGGCCAGCACGTTTGTCACTGCAAGAGGAGAGAGGAGATATTACCAAACGCTGCCACCAAAGCCCAGCAGTGTCACCTCAGGCAGTTGCTCCCCGTCAGCACATGCAGAGCACAGGAGCTGCCACCTGTGTGGGGATGCTGGACTGGAAGAGGCAGGAGCAGCCCTCTGTGCGACATGCTGTCACCTCCCACCTCCATGTGCCACAGCACATAGCATGCCTAGGTGACCCCGTAAGGTCTCCGCACTGTCCCTGCTCGGCGCAGGGCACGGATGTGCTGTCACCTGCACTGTGAATGGACTCATCTCCTTGGAACGGGCACTCGCTCAGGGCCCCGACGTGGCTCATGGACCCTCCCAGGATCAGCTTCATCGACTCCACAAAGCCCTGACATCCAAGAGGAGACATGGTCAGCCGTGGGGGGTTCTGCATGTCCCCAAGGACATGGCGGGGTGGGTCTCAGCACCCCAGGGGTCCCGGCACTCACCTGCATCCTCTGGTAAGCCTTCTGCCCCGTGCGCACCTCGATGGACTCCACCTCTGCCAGGGGGATCTCGGACAGCTCGGGCAGCCCCACGCTGGAGTCCATCTGCTTGCAGTCCACGTAGAGCTCCACGCTCAGCATGTCCCCGCGCAGCCCGCTCAGGCGCACGATGACAGTGTGGCTCTGCCCGTCCGCCACGTGCGCGTGCTGCAGGTTGACCGAATGCAGCTTGTTGTCTTCTCGTAGGTAACGTACCAGGACTGCAGAGGGAAGGGGCCATCAGCTCTCCTGTCCCAGCACCAGCAGCCCCCTGGGACCAGTGAGGACCCCGCTGCTCTCCCCAGTGGGCCCTGGGGGCAACAGGAACTGGGTCCCTGTTTCAATCTGAACATCATGGCAAGAGCATGGGGCCAGCACATCCCCGTGCAGCAGGCACCCACCTTTGTTGATTTTCCCCACCACAGACACCTCCAGCCACCTCGTGTTGTCCTTCTTGGAGTAGAGGCCGAAGAGGGTCCCCCCCTGCTTGGGGGGCAGGCGGAAGGTGGAGAGGAGGTAAACGTCATTGACACTCAGGAGCTCCATCCGGATCTTGTGGGTTATGCTGGCCATCTGCCGCGCCTCGCTCACCATCAGCAGGTCAATGACTACGGGAACCGAGCGCCGGGGTCACATCCTGACCGACAGCCGTAGCTCCGGTGGCGGGAGTATGGAGATGCCCGGTGCTGGGCACTGCAGACCGGCTCGCTGCAAGCCCGGTCAGACCGGGGGGTCTTTGGACCGCCGGGCCCTGGAGGGGGCAGGGAAGCCCC